GTGTATGTGTTTATTTGTATTCGTGTGTATGTGCATAAAAGCAAGTACAGTATATAATAAGACTTTCATCAAGTCTAAGTTTCCTCAGTCGGCAAAGCTCAATGTTACCTAAAGCACGAGCAAGGATAGACGTTTATTTATTTTTATAAAACAATTTTGAAGAAATTAATTATGACTAAGTGGTATAATTATTCTCTGCTCCTCGGGTCCAATTTTGAAGAAATTAATACAGACTAAGTGGTATAATTATTCTTTGCTCCTCAGGTCCTCAAGATGTCGCTCCACACAGGTGTTCTATTGATTTTGATGGTTACGATCAGTTCCATACAACCCACAGACTACAGCCGTGATGCAAATGTGGAGATATCATCGAGGTGCCAGAAACGGGTCAAACGTAAGAGGTTTATTTGACGTTCACACTGGGGCGTAGTGGTATACGTAGTTCGCTCTTTGTCGCCATTTTTAGGTTAATGTTTCAATAGACGTTAACTTAAAAGATTACTTTCTCCAGTTTGCAATGGTTATATCTGCATGAAAAGATTACGTTCATAATGAACCAAGATGTTTTATGCTTGAGGAGCATAACAGAATAATTTTTCAACAAGATCAAAATAAGTAGGCCTATATCCCGCAAAAAAAACCAAACAACAATAACCCAGCAGCATTTATCCTTCCTACACTATAACCATTTTTAAATTACTCAACAATATCACTTCCTCATAATCCTCTCGTGTTATTTTCATGATATTTGGGTGATTATCACGAATATGTATGTAGCTATCCCCTTTTATATTCCAAATGTTTTACTTGACTCCAGAAAGAATCCTTAAGCCCACTTCAAGACTGTCTTCCTACGAAATTCCTTTATTCGAAGAAATCATTAAAAGTTAATGTATGACCTCAATGTGATCCTTCTTCTAGGGACAAATACGTCAATGTAATGGTTAAATGGTCTTCGTTTAAAGCTATACATAACATAGCGCAGAAGGAAACGACGCACATAAGAGAATAAAAACACTCCAAACGGGTTGAATGCTAGCAAAATCGTGCAGAATAAATGTATATCGCAAAGGAAAATAATGAACTAGGAAACTGATTTAATTCGTAAAAAGAATGTGAACCATTAGCCTTTGAAGTCCAACGGGCAATGAAAGGAAAATGGACAGTCCATGTAATAAAGTTCCAGCACAACGAAAACGAAGCGGGAAGTAAATCGAGTATTCTGTTTCATAAAAAATGAATGACTAAAAGTCTGGAAAACAGGAATTTAGCTGAAAGCTTTGAATAATAATATAGCCCTCTTTTTAAGCCAAAGTGAATGAAGCAGTACTTATAGAACATTGACCCTCACCAGTCACGTTAGGGCTACATGTGTGCTAAAATTACCCCGAAAAGGTTATAAAAGAGATAGAAGTAGAAATCAACTTCGCTCAAGCCGAATTCAGACAAAGCAGTGGAATTGTTCTGTAGATCTAAAATCTGAAATTATATTGTCGTACGATGCAGAGTGTGCTATGAGAATCTTTTTGCCAATTCTAATGACTTTTGCAAGGCATTTGAGTATTTTTCAAATCGCAGTATGAGTCAATAACAGAATACCAGTGTATGATCCTGCTAGCCACAATACGAATAGATGGGGAAACCACCAGGGTCAAACTGGAGAAACTCTACGACGATGGTTCTTAACCTTGTTGGAAATACTGAAACTCGCAAGTTCGTACGTGCATGTGCTGAACCCTTCAAGTAATGAAAGGGAC